ATGTAGTTTGTTTGCCTATCAATCTTATATCTCCCAATATAATTTCAAAAGTATATATATCCGTGTATGTAAAGTATTCAGTTGACGAGTTCTACCGAAATTCGATGAACTCATTAAATCCTGCTTTATTAACCTTTATTGCTTGTTTTAAAGTATATAATTTCTCTCAGTTTCGCTTGCACCACAGAAAACACAAAACCTATGAAAATCAAAAAACATTAAATTGTTGTTTGGTTCTAGGTTCTACAACTGTAAGCGCACACAATCTTGCCAGGGACTGAACTTATAAGTTTGAAAACACCTTGACGGCTGAGATAGAGAAAGCTGGATATGAAACAGTTACTCATCGGAATTAGTGAACGACAGGAGCTTAATATCAGCTGAAGATCCAGCATTAATTTAACTAAATCTTGATCTATAAATTGTTGTTTCAACACTTCATGAGATTAAGTAAGTCAAAATAAAACAGATATCTAAGGCTCCCTAGTTTTTCATGTTTTTCTCATTGCCTTCAAATCAGTCACTTCACAACAAATCGTTGTTTACCTCAGAAGAAGAAATATTTAATAGTCCAGTTTATATACTATAGCATTTGCAATTAATAGTCTTCTCTGATCTGGTTGGTTTAGTTGCGGAGCTTTTGTCGTCCTTCTGGACAACATCTTCTCTATTATACTATAGCATTGTTGTCTAGATTCCTGACTACAAGGTGGATTTATTTTTTCATATGCTTGTTAACTACACTATTTTACAATGTTAACTGATATTAAGATATCAGTCCTGCTGGGAGTGTATGGATGAGTACAATGTGTGATTATGGTTTATAATATTTATCTTAGTTATTCTCAGACATGGCTATTAACTTCACTGCTTTCCAAACACATATCCTGATCACAATGATCAGTCACTAGTGAATAAGTGATTTCACTTTTCTAGCCCTTATTGTTGATACCAACTAAATTCTATCAGTTGAGACTGCAGTACAATCACCAAACCAGATGACTCATCATACAAGATGTCGGTTGTAAACCTGAAACGTTCAGCGGCTAGGTCTTCGACTGAATCACTTTATGATTCCAGTTCAAAAAATCTCGAGTCACTATCAATCCTTATTACGTTACGTAAATGAATTGCTGACAAATTAGATAAATACGAAGCCTATTTACAGGACTTCTAGCAGACTGTTTCCAATCACCTAATACATTGTGATCGGAATAATAAGAAGTGTTTACCTGGAAATTTTCTAAGAATTCGTCAAACATAAGCCTAGTGTTTTAATGGTACATAGGTAACGACAGAAGACAACGGCCAAGGAACAGATCGTTCATTGAGAAACTCAAGAGGTATTTATAGATTGTCGTATACATTATTGTTAGCTCAGAAGCAACCTCCTTTGATTATTTGTTTTCTTGCTGAAGGTTATTCTGTTATCTCTTTGTGACTGTTTCTCAGAAAATCAAGCCGTATACTTGTGAATCATAATTCCACACCCTAATTCCGCTCTGATTGGCTGGTAGTTTTCTCAAGGTGTTGTTTTTCTGATGACTATGATTCCGTACAGAAACATTGACGTTGTTGTCTACAATTTTTGCTTGTAGACAGATCTCACCCCACATATATACTAATTGCCTCAGTAATAAAGGGGGCTCTTTTAAGCACACTTTTCGGAGGTTCCAGTTTTGAAGAAAAAAAAAGTTAACTTCGGCATAGAGACATGCGACTGGTTCTTAAGAAAAGTTCATTCTTTTATCTAGTACTAGGAACCACTGTGTGACATTGCACTTTACTGACTACTGCTGTTCTCAGCATGCTACTGGAAACAAGCTAAAATACATAATGAGCTATATGTTACTGACTTAAATAGCCTACTGAGCATTATATTATAATCTACCAAAATTTATTTTTATATTTCAAGCAACTATTTAAGGCCATTTATTTTGTCTGAGTACATACTGGGTGTAACAGCACTAAGGTGTTTCTATTGGGTGAGCAGCAAACCAGTCATGCTGTCTTTCCTCTCTGAGGAAGGTGAAATGGTTGGAAAGTGTTTACCTTAAAAAATTGTATATCCTGACTTACCCTGCAAATTGTCTTTAGCCATTAGTAAAGTCTTCATGTGGACACAACTCCATAAACTAAATTAAACAGGCCGTATGCCACTTGCACCATGAAGTTGTCCCCTGAGTCCTTCAGTCACACAATACTAATAAGTGCTTTCTATAGTTTCGTTTGTAAGGGTTAGTTTTGCTTTTACGAGTTCATCACGGATTGATATCAGCTAGAGAACCATTGAAAACCAGGGAGTACTGGACAGCTGCTGTTTCATCCTAGTTTGGGAATCATCCGCAGTACGCACCCGTTGGGGTTCGAACCCAGGATCTTCCTGTTACAAGGTCCTAATCCTTACTAACCAAACTATAGAAAATTAATCTGATGCTCGCTAGTGACTCGCTACGGGATGGAGTTTCCTGGAGTTCTAGTGATAAGTCGTGACCAGTGAAGTCCATCCAGATGTAACGTGTGAGGATGGATGTCCCACCGACGACAATGGTTGAGGTCGCTCTAAATCATGAATTGGTAGAAGTTAGAATTCATGGACTCACCATTGAATTGAGTCCAAATGGTTGAATGGTATACGAGCTTGCCTTGTAACCGGAAGCTCCTGAGTACGAACCCGAGTGTGTGCGTGCTGCCGATGATTCCCAAACTAGGATGGAGCAGCAGCTGTCCAGTACTCCCTGGTTTTCAATGGTTCTCTAAATGATATCAATCCGTGATCAACTCGTAATAATAAGTGCTTATTTCATGCATTTCAAAATGCCACCAGTTCATGCTTTACCAACCTTAATAATCATTAAGCATTTCACATCTAACTGATACAAATACAAAAGTGTAATCAATGAGACGCTTTCTTTGATAACAGACAGTATGACCGACCTACATCTGTTGTATGAAAATATGAGAAAATAATACATACCGTACAAGACAGAAACGGGTATGCAGATTAATATAATACGAATCAAGAATATCGATGCGTTTCTAACTGTCTATATATTTAACACGATAACATCCTACTTAAAAGATAAAGGCTTAATGAAGCGTCTATCTATCTATTAAGTATAAATCGATAAATTTAAACTCATAAAAATGATCATTATAAATATAGCAAAAATATTCATTCGGACATCTATAAAAAACACAAAATAATTGAGCAAAGAATATCCTTCTCGATAATCTCTTCTTCTAACTATACAATTATATATATGTGTTTACATACATAGAATATTCTAGATTAGTAGTCAATAACAATAGTGTTTTTTTAAATAATATCGATTTGTAAAGTAAGATCAATGCAATTACAGTTCATTAAAGATGCTTAAATGAGAATAATAATAATAAAGGTATAATAGCAAATAGAATATCAACTAAAATTAGGAAAATTCCACACAAAATTCAGGATCATTCAAACCTAGATGGCCAGGGTAAGGATAATATCTGAACTAGCTTCTTTTGGACGCTCAAATTAGGCTTCTTAATATGGATCTCAACAGTCTCAGCAATACATAATAATTGAAGTCTTAAGGTGAAGTTAAGATTAGTTGGTATGCGCTAAATGACTTTGAAAGCTGCCTCTTTAACATCGATCTTGTGTTCTGTATCCACAAGATGAGATAGAATAGCGCTACGAATAGATTTTGTTTGTCCTTTACTTAGCCACCACTAAGCAGGGTGATGTTCGGAAATCCGAAGAGAAACACACACTTAATTGTATGGCCTATGTAACTGGTTCCGCAGGAGCACTTAAATTATATAAATAAATGTAAATATCCTACTTACTAGAAAACCAGATGGTAGCATAAAAAGAAATTCGCATAGAAGAAGCACTTGGACAGGATAAGATACACATTTTCACAGCTTCGTTCCTATCAAGTACAAAAGAAATTTAGTGAAGACCCTAACTCAGCCACAGAGTTAGTTAGAGCTATATGCTCAGAAGAAGTGATTGAAGATGAATTAGGCATTGTATATGATACTTTGATCGAAAATGGTTATCCCGACAAATTTATCAGAAACACATGACAAAGAAAGCGGGAAAGGACTACCCACTACCTGTAAACAAGAAGCCACTTTATATACAACTACAATTCAAGGGCGATATACCAAGTGAGATAATTACGAGGAAATTAAGAAAATCAGTTCAAAGAACTTTTAATGCTGGTAAGTTACACGTATTGTTCTCTACACGACCGATGGTGCTACGTCGACTGAAAGATGAAATACCTAGACTAGCCACTCGAATTGTATCTATCAATTTAACTGCGCTTGTGGAGCGAGTAATACTGGCTGTTGCTCTGGGAACTTTTTTTCGTGCTCACTCGAGAACATCTCCCACAACGGCTAAGTAAAGGCGTAGTAAAAACCATTAACGGTTCGATATTGGACCATCTGTTGCGAACCGGCCACAAAGCCAGCGTGGAAGAATCCTTCTCTATAATCTACCGGATGCCTAATAAATTGCCAAAAACATCGAAGCACCGCATGCTCCAAGCAGCGGAGAATATTGCAAGTCGCCTCAAACAACCGGTGCTCTGTGTTCAAAAGGGGTAAGTCCAGCCCCTACTATTGACCTGGCCTTCAGTAGAAACGATAAACTCATGAATTCGCAATATTATCTTTACTAATTTTTCTGACATTCAGCTTATTTTATGTTGATTCTATTGACCTGTAATCTATCAATATTATTGATTCGATGTTATTTAAACTGCATTAATGTTGTTGATAACACTAATTCATTCATTCACTATAATGTATATATAACTAACTGTAGAGCCTGATGATGAAGGGGCTATCGAAAAGAGTACTCTTTGTTCAGTATCCATTCTTTTGTAATTATAAGTATCTTTAATAATAAATTTATTTCCATTATCTAATAGCTGACTATAGAAAATTTATCTTTCTACAAAAGAAAACGGAAATCCTCTAGACATTCCAATAACAATTTATTTGTCCTGTTGAGCTTCTAATTGCATACTTTCAAAAGTTTCACCTAATTTTGTCCGAAGTTCATCCAGTTTGCCGTCGATATCCTCCATTTCTTTTTCAAGTTTACTGATTGTTTCTTGTTTGCATTTTATTGACTCTTCCAAATTCTTACGTCTTATTATAGCCTTCTTTTTACGTTCTAATGCTGCTCTATATGAATGAACAAAATAAATAATTAAAAAAATACAAATACAAAATCAACCTAATAATGAAAATGTAAAGAATCTTACACTTCAAAGCATAATCTCTATAATGATGAAGATTTAAAAGTTATAACTTACTGAACTAGCTTGTCAAGATAGTCAAGTGAACTGATACAGAATAATTCATTCTCAGTCATTGTACGTAATTGATCCAAGTCTAAATTGTTATCAGGACTTTGATTCGCTTGCTTTACACTTTCCTAATACATTCAAGAATTCTAATGAAATTAATTTGGAAATGAAATACCTTTGGGGATTCTGATTGGATATTCTCTGTATACTGAAGATCCCGGGGGAATATTTCATTTGCTAAGTTGTGCCATGCTTGTACAAACTCCTGTTTGGCTAGCTATATAAGTTAGAATATTTTGAATATATTTTATAGAATGAATAATAATTACATCTAAATCTTTGTTTTGCTGTTCCCATACTTCATGATCTCCTTTGTCTTTGAAATACTTTGATAAACATGTATTTCTATAATTATACAGAAAAGAAAGGGTGGTTTAAAACAAGAGTATGATGGATAGAATATTTCAATGAAGTTTAATGAGCATTTTGAGAGTATAGAAGAAATGAGGTGCTGGGAATCTGTGATGGCAGATGAAATGGAAATCTACTTCGGTCACTTCTTCCATCTTGTTAGGTAGCGTCGTTTTTAACTACAGGAGACATGTATCACGATTCCAAAGGCAAGACAATCCTTCATTATTCTGAAGGTAATCTTGAAATCCTTTGACAAATGATTCGGATTTTCAACGCCAATATCAAGTCACTTCTTCTGTATGATTCAGACACTTGGTGCGTCACGTGAAGTACTTCTAAAACTCTGTTGCAGACCTTCGGCAACATATGCCTTCGTTATATACTGAAGATCAGATAGGTCATCAGAAAGGATTAGCAACAATAAACTCTGGGAACGAACCAACAAATTCGTCGGAGAAAATGGACATGGAAAGAACACACACTGAGAAGACCGTTGAGAGTGACAATGTCTGCCAGGCCCTAGGGTGGACCCCGGATGGGAGATGACAAGTTGGGCATTGGTCTGAAGTTAACGGGAAAGAGATTGTGTGAACTAGAAATGAAAGCTTATGGACGATAGGATAAGGTGTAGATGTGCTGCTGAAGTTCTTTGTTCCACTCGGAACCCGAGGTATACTATACCATATAGAAACTGACAAGGAATGAATACATCAGCATAATTGTAAATGATTTTGAACAGTATTATAAAGAATCTCTAAACATTGATTCCCTGTATCTTAACAACTCCAACCAGGTAGTCTAAATCACTCTTCCTCTTTCACATCGATACGGAACCCAACCTGTGCCACGGTTAAATGTATACCATATGAACTAACTTACGAAATGAATATTTTATGAGTTTAAGTTTTAAATGAATCCATAATTTTTTAAAGACTTAGCAGCACTTAAACATGTTCATTATAGAATTGAACTGTGTCTGTAGCACACCGGTAGGGTACTCGCCAATCACGCCTCATATGGTCAGGGGTTCTAGCCCCAGCCAACGCCACACTCCTTTACCTCACTAAGCCAGTAATCAGACTGGTAAAGAGGAAGGTTGGGGGGCATGAGGCTAGCAACCCCATCCCGTAAAAATAAATACCACTGCTACCGATACTTCAAGCCTCTAGCTTTAAGCCGTGTGTTCCACTTGGAACGTGAAGGGATAAAAAATTATGGGTGTGAAAGCAGTGATTGGCGAACAAAGAACATTGTTCTCGATAACTTCTTCTTTGGGTCCTACGATTATAAATCCAGTGTTTAAGGATGTCGGCATTCATTCTTTATTAAAACAACTTAGACAAATTTGCTTTAATCGTTCATTTCAGCGGGCTGCATTCAGTTATGTAATTTACGTTTAAAGCGGAATTCCAATGGAAAAACTAATCTTTTGGATGTCCTTCTCACAGGAAGGTGAAACTGTAACAGATTCGTTCCACTCCAGTACAAAATAATTTTGGTAAGGGCACCTAGTTATAGGGTGGGAAGATATGAATAAAAGTAAACTTATGGTAGTACATGATACCCTGATTAAAAATATTTATCGCGGGAAGTTCCCAAGGAAGCACACAGCTACAATAGTCAAAATATTTTGCAATTACGATAGAGAAGCCACTCTATATGAGATTACGATCTAGAGGTGACGTTATCAAGTGAAGTTGTAATCAACAACTTAAGAAAATTACTTCAGAGAACTCTTAATACTGGTGACTTGCAGCTCCTAATTTCTAAACTCAGTGCTATGATACCAAATATGATTGAAGCAAGCCACCCCTAACTGTATCTGTTAGGCTCCGGATGTATCAGTTATTGTTCTAGGAACTTGATCTTTCATGCTTGAGAACACCTTTCAGTGTGGCTAAATAAAACGCATTTGGAGTTCTTTATCACAATACCTGGTCCAAACAAACCATAAACATTCTCCAATCATTTCTCATATACCGATTAAATTTCCAAGTGAAACTAGCTACCGAATACTCAAAACAGAAAAAGCCATAGTGATCTGCTTAAAACAGATAGAACTTTGTGTATAAAAGAAACAAATCCAGCTATTATTGCTAGTTTTGTCCGCTGTGGAATAGATAAAGTCTAAAGATACTACTGTATTACCTCATAACTTTTGGGTTTGATCTTTCGCCCTTTTATGTATATAATTCTCGTAACCCATACTTATTATTATATTTGTACGAGCAAATCCTTTATTTTCTTAATTAATGATAGTTATACTTCAATGGTTGTTTGATAATATTTCGAGCAAACATTACTGCCCGTTAATACACCAGCTGTTGAAATTATTTCCAATTCACACATTAATATTTCGTAGTCACTATTTTATGATCCATTTGTTTTGTGTTTAGTCACTTTCTTTGGATTCAGAATTATATTCCAGGATGTTGACGTTTGTACTGAGTCACCTTTGTTTCATATGTTCGTCATGGCCTTAATGAATATAGATTCCATCATTAGTCTTTCTTTCTATTTGTTCATATGGTATTTCTGAACACAAGTGTTGTCCCAGTCAGTGTTATGTTTCTCTTACCATATATGTGTAGAGTTAGACGTTTATGTTGATTCACTCTTATTTTGAGTGATCTAGACGTTTGACCAACATAGAGTTAATGTCGGATGAGTAATTACACATCATTTTTGTCAAATTTTTATTGGGTTTTTGATTGCTTTAATTTATTACAAGTTTGAAATCACGAGTTAACATCAGTTAGAGAACCACTGGAAAATCTGGAAGTATTGGACAGTTGTTTCTTCCTTATTTAGGACTCCTCATCAGTTCCTCTCCGCCGCGTTTCGCTATATTGGCAGGAGTTGGAATTCATGGGTCATTAAATCGGCTCCCAATGGCTTAATGGTCCAGGAGCTCGCCTTGTCACCGGTAGGTCCTAGGTTTCGACCCCGGTGGGTGTGTACTACTGAAGAGCCCGAAACTAGAGCAATAGTTTGCTAAGTGATATCAACTCGTGTCCAAAGTTGTAGCCAATTAAATCCCTGCAAATCAAACACTTGATTTCATTTGTTTCTCATTAGATTCCTTGGCTTCGACGTATTTCGAATACCTGCTTCTTTGAGGTTTCTTTGAATTACCTCTGACATAGACTTTTTGCATATCAGTGTTACAGTCGTTCTGAAATAATCTTTCTTATCGTTCTCTTTTATCAGTGTCTTATTCGTTTTCTTCTTTATATTGTCTTTGATGAATTCTTTTTGGTAACAGTGAAATTATGGATTAAATATTTATTGGAATTCGTTGGTCGTCTAACGTTGTTACTAGTCTGCATATTCTGTCTACAAGATCGTGTATTAACCCTCTTTCTGTAATCAGTGGATGAACTGAGGGATAACCAATAAACCCCCAGAGTGCGTTGTTTCCCTAGAAATCGTCGTTTTTATGCCTCCATCTGTTGTTCTTTGTATTTTAAAATCTAACATAAGTGGTTCCTCAAATTCATTCCTTATTTCCATACATGACTAGGAACGTATGAGAGGAGTTTCTTCACATAATTCTCCTTCTTCATTATTACATATCTTCATCAACATTTTATTGATGACACAAATGATTTAAGTACATTTTCTTCTCAAAAATCTATGAATATTTAATTGAATTTTAGATTTTCCGGTAGATTGGTTGGATCGAAGTGCTCGGTATCAGGTTTACATCTCGGCTTCTCTTGCAGATGCCTCGACGATGTCTGGGCATTTAATTAGTATTTAATTGGTGGATGGTGAATAGCAGCAGAATCCAGGATGCGCATTTAGTCCTATTTGGGACCCGTCATCTGAATGTACCTGCATTCCACAAGAAGCCGACATTTCAACCTGAGACAGAGCAATCAGCAGACAGGAAAATCCAAAATTCAATTGAATAATTAATACGACCCGTTGCACAAGTGGTCTAGTCGATAACCATTTGGCGTTTGAAACTATGAGCACTGGGTTCGAGCCTCGGTGGGAACATCATAACCCACTGGAGAATGCAGGTACATCCAGATGACGAGTCCCAAATAGGACGAAATGCGCACCGTGGATTCCACTGCTAGTCACTATCCACCAATTAAATTCCATGAATACGTCGGCTATCGGTAGTGAGATAGATGATTCTATTGCTATTCCTTCATTCCCATCGTATACCTTCCTTTCAGATGTGGAATATATTCCTGTAAGACTGAATTCTACCCGTTTGTTTTATCTCTCCTGCTGTTAATTGTGTCCCTCTTTTAGATAATCATCTGTATTTAGTTCTTATTTTCAGTGCAACTACAGCCATCTTAACAGGTATTGTAGTATGTAGATTGTTTACACTAAAGCTGACTAGTATTCCCTCCTCGTTTATTTTAGTGTCCTTTAGTGTCCTACCGGCCTAACTTTTGAATTGTCCTTTGATCGTCTGAGTATTATTCCAAGAAATCTTGACAGCATATATGTCAGTGCATTTGTGAGATCAACAATCGGTCGTATCGGATACCCATCTTGATACAGTTTTATTGTAATATATATTCTAGGTATATAACATGATTTCCTTAATAATTTATGATTGGTTTATAGTGGGAATGAATAGAATTCAGTATAAAAATTAATCATGAGCACTTATGACTATATACTTACTGATATTCATGGACATTTACTTTGAGATCTGAAGTTAAATTTAATACTATATTTATGGATATTACGGATAATATTCAAACAATTTTCAACTATAATCTAGTAACAGGTTATTCACATATTATTATATAATAAATTAAATTACACAATCAGATTTAAAATTTTTTTTTGTTTCACTATGCCCTTGGGTTTTTAGTGGAGCGTAGAATTTCAACAACACACCTCCACTTTGTTCTACTCTCTGAATTCCTCTTTAGCTGGCCCTACGATGGCTCACAGTCTCCTCCTGGCGTAATCTCCCCCATGTCACTCAAGGACCAACGCCCAAATCTGTCATGTAGTCAACTTGAACACCCGCTTATTCCTTAATTACTCTTCATTTTTCTAAAAATTATCCATTTTACAATCCATTTGTTGAAACTGTTTCCACCCTTTAATTGTGTGTATTAATATTCTTCGTTAATTGTTACCCCCTTGAAATGTTGATACTGATTAATCCTTTTGCTTTCTAAACACTCAAATCGTTCTTTTCCCCTAAGGTTCCACTCGAACGATGACCTGGCGGGTGAATTCACTCGATGGTCTCCTCAGCATGTGTCCAACCATATCTAGTTTCTTCTGCATATTTAGTGAACAATAGGTTCCAGATTATTCATATATGCATCTTGGATTTTCAAACTTAATGGTCCGATGTCATTTTAACCATAAGGTCCCGGGTTCAAACCCAGGTGGGTGAGTGCTGATGAAAAGTCTCAAGATAGGACGAAACAGCTGTCCAGTATTCCAGGCTGATTTTCCAATGGTTTTCTAACTGACTTCAGCACATGATGAAATTCTCCGACCAGTCAGACTAAATTCCCACAAAAAAACCAATATTTGAAAATTCATCTGATTCTCACTAGCGACTGGCCCTATTCAGGTAGTGACCTGAGATTCTAGTGGGAGGCCGGGACCAGTAGGGTGAAGCAGGTTGAAGGTGAGGCAGTAAGTCATCGAAGAAGACATTTCGAAGTGATCACGCTATATCATGAATTGGCAGAAGTTAGAATTCATGGGCTAGCCGTTGGATAGGGTAGGGTCCCATTGGCTTAATGGTCTACGAGCTCGCCTTGTAACCAGAATTTCCTGGGTTCGAACCGTGGTGGTGGGTGCGTACTGATGTAGAGTCTCAAACTAGACTGGCGAAACGGCTGCCCAGTACTTCCAGTTGGTTTTCCAGTGGTTCTCTAAGTGATGTCAGCTCATGATGAAATCTTCCAACCAATAACAACTACTCTTCAACTCTTATGAATATATAACTGTAGAACCTGAAGAAGGAGTTTACTAACTAACCAGTTTCTTTTGAAATTTGGCACTGAGCAGATATGCTGGTAGTGTAAACGACTAACATCGGTAATGTAAAAGCCTGTGAAGTGATATGCATATGAAACTCTATCACTTCAAATGAACAATAATCGACTACTTAATCTATTCAATGGTTCCTATTGAATAAACTATTTCAGCTACAAATTTGATATCGATTCCTATAGACAGTTCACTATGACATACATTTGAGTGTAGGTGATTCAGCGATGGAGTGCTTGCCAAACCACACATGCGGTCTAGAGTTCGATCTCCTGCTGACTAGCTACTAAACCTCGCCTAGTTTACTAGCGGATAATAAGCGGGAAAAAAGGGGAGATTTCGGTAAGAGTGTAGTAACCCCATCACCATTAGAAACAACATCATAGTTACTGAAAATTCAAAGCGTCAAGCCTGAACGCCTATGTTTCATCTGGAACACGAAGAAAGGGGAAAAAATTGACGTACATATTGAAATCATTCGATATATCATCAAGTTGAGCAGTTATCAGATTGATAACTTCATGCAATTTATCCTCAGTCTGAAAATCAAGCAACTGCTTTTGTAAGCTTTCATAATTCTCCTTGAAACATGAATATATCCAGTTATTAATATCATTGTAATCAATACAACAACTACCACTTGTCGTCGTGTCTTCGCTGACTGCATCCGGTGTCCCGTTTCCACTGTCTTTATCCTTTTTCTTTTGAACTGATGAATAAGTCTTATCATTACATCACTTTCGGTAGTATTCTTTTGAATAAATTTTCCAACTTTAAATTACATATCTTTTCAAATAATTGATTCCATTCCACTGTAATATTACTAGAATTTAAACAAATCCATATAATTGCATTGGATATCCATTTTGAAGTTAACTGTTGACAGATAATTGATTTTTTACTTTCTATTTTATTAACATTATTGACTAAATTCATATTTAATTCACATAATCTTTGATTAACATTTCGTTGTAAATTTATAATTGAGTTCAATGTAGACTGATTATGATAATTTCCAGTCAATATTGTCTGGTCAGATCTAATAAAAAGAGAGAGAGGAAAGAACAAGGCCGATTAAGTAGGGAGGGGAGAAAGGCAGTAAACAGTAAGTTGATTTAAGTGAGTACAATTTGTTTAAATCGACTTGAATAATTACTAGTCGTTTAATTATTTATTAGTTTTATTTTGATTTTTGCTTTAAATTATTGTTTTTAGTTAATACAACGCCCAGTTACACCTAAAGTATGACAAATAAGAGAAAACTAAGCTTGTTTCAAACTGAATGGTCATTTTGTCCACTACTGAAACGGATTGAAACATATCTGCAGGATTTCTCAACTTACTGGGAATATCTGACTTTTTCGAGTGTTAGTGCACTAAAAATTATATCTACTTAGCTGGGGTTCTAAATTAGAACATTATTTGTCACTTTAGGACCTATGTGACAAGCTTATATTGAGTAGCGTTTATCAAGGTCATCTACTTTTTTTTGAATTTTTTTCTAATTTTACCATCTTTATGTTTATGCTCTTCTGCTGATTCACAGGAAATGACCATCTTACTTGAGATGCTTTATTCGGCTTAAGGTACGCAAAAAGATATATGTAAAATTGACTCTATTAGAGCATTTGGTGAACTCAGGCCGCATAGCTCCACCTGAGTCGTCTTTCAATATCATTTACAAAGTGAAGTCAGGTGGTACAAAGAGCGTCAGGTTTCGTCTTTTATGTATGCGGAGGCGCTGGCGATTCGTCAATACAACCCTGAACTCTGTACTTAGAAAAAAAGTTTGTCCAGTCTCTTATTCTACCTTGGTCTTAACCTCTTCACTAATCGTTCCCTGCAAAAAAATTTTTAATTTTTTCTTTTCTTTTTTAATTTTACTTTAAGTTTGCTTTTGCTTTAATAATTAATTCACTATTATCAATCTCATATGCTGCTTTTGTATATTTTCACACCCTTTTCACACTTGTTAAAACTGACACTGAAATACCTTTATTCTCACTCAATAACAATTTTAACCTTACCAAATTTCTATCATTGTGTCGTTGAGTATCACGTAATTTACAACTTTTAATTTTCACTTCTAAAGCCACTTCTGAGTAATTATATCAATTATGTCAACCCCTATTACTCAATAATAGACTACTATATATATTTTTGTAAGTATAAATACGACTGTACAGCCTCTGAAGATGATTTCCTCGATAAAGAAAATTTTCTTCATTGAATTTGTCTTTTATTTTCTTCATGACTCAATGGGTATTTTTGGTGATCTTTTAAAATATTTACGATACGTTTCTCTCCTCTCAGATGCAAACGTGTCGGTTCAGTTATAGTTGGTATGCATAGGAAGTGAACTAGCTCAGTAGATCGATCATTCTAGTGACATGGGGAGGTGAATCCGTCGTTGGTTAACGAAACCTCAGTGCTGATACACCACCCATTTTGGTAAAGGTATGATAACTGATTTCATAGTAAGCATCCAGTATATATTATACAGTGATATGATCCTTTCGATTGTATGACTATATAACATGATCACTGAATGTAGAATATTTGCAAAGATCCCAAATACGTAACGATCCTTGTATTAAAGAACTGTGGTGGAGTAACTATGTGAGCAAATTTACCGTTTTAGATAAAATGAGCTAGAAATCTTCTTTCATTTAAGGTGATCAAGGCACGTATTACACATGCAAACTCAGACTCTTCTTCACTGTGTCATACTAGAAAATGTAAGATTAAGTTAGGGGAAGAGAGAGAGAGAAGAGGAGTTACCGGATAAAGGCATTATACCAATACACAAATTCACTGACTGTTGATTGAGTAACTTAGCTCTGAACGTGTAAGCGCACTTCAAATTTGGCTAATGTATAAGAACAAACGTTTAACCTTAGACAGTAGACGTTGGAAGAGAAAGGCTTGACATCAACCACAGTGACTGTGGTATACTGGCCACATTTTATGCTCTAAATGAAGATATGTTGATCTGGAATAGTCACATAAAATTAAGAATAAAGTTGGTTGAAAACATCAGAACGTTAACAAGTATTCAGTGTAGAGAAATACATCACTGGTTTCAGATGACGTACACAGTCTAGGTATACTTCTCCAAATACAGACCTTATTCTTCTTGCCTACTGTTGTGTATTTAGTTAACCCCGTATCAGCTAGAAACAATCAACTCAAGTGAATTTTGCTCAAAAGTCCATGGTTCCAAGTTGTCACACTTCGTACAAACACGTGTAAAGCTAGGCAAAAGAAACACAGTAAAGCCGCAATAGATAGAAACGTACGTCAGTAAGAATAATCACGTGAAGAGAAATGAAGGTATTCCGAATCTAGAGGATTATAAGGAATGAATACATCTGCTCTAATGAAGACGATTTTAATCTATTTCATCGAAAGTTTACAGCCATTAATTGTAAACAATCAGCTGGTCTATCTTATTTTTACGTGACTCAAACTACACTGTCAAAACCTTCATAGATTTTACTACAGCCTATTCTCTTTATTAGCTTGAATAAATAATCTGTCTCTTTTCGACATAGAACTTTGCACTGATGTGCGGCAGTTCAAGTCGCCACACTCCATGTAGCACACAAAGCAACAGAAGAAGAAAGTAGAAGAAACGTATAATAGACAGTAAACAGAGGTGTGAGACAAAGGAATAGTAACAACGAACGAAGAACAATATAGTTTCATTGGAAATCATAAGTCACAAGTAGTGGATGCATCTGCGCCAGCCATTGACAACGATCACTTTGAGCCATATCACCAATTGTTTCCAGCCATTGGTTTTTACTGCCTCGAGGACCCAAACCAGGAAGTCTACATCTTCCTACGTGGCTTAGACTAACTGTTATAGATTTCATTGACTGGTGCCATGTTTTGGTTTGACCGCCGCTAGCTCTTTTCCAGCCTGACCCTATGTCAGCCAGCTAACATTGCCCATCGAGGAAGGCGATGACTAGGCATACATACATAACACATGTCCTAACCATCTCAGTCGAGGTAACTTCAGAGCCTCATCGATTGATTTCTCCTCCCACCTACCTAGCACTCAACGCCTAACCTCAATATTGCTCACCTTATTATACCACTTCACACGGGAGATAGAGCGCAGCACCTATCATCAAAGACAGCTAAACTTTTCATGTCTTCCACTCCCAATGGCTAGGTCTCACAGCTGGCCATAAAGGAGAACGGAGCGAACTGATGAGCAGTACACTTGCCCTTTGGTTGAAAGCCGGATATCACGTCTACACCAGAGACGGCGAAAACTGGCATATGCGAAACTAGCCCTCTATATCCACGCTGAGATTTCGTCAGAGATCAACCCGTTGGCACTGGCTGATAGTACTTCACAAATGAGTGAAGCGATCAACTTGCTCTACCACTTCACTCCCTATTTCTAAACTAGGAGTCAGTGTGGTCCAGTCCTGTAACATTATCTTGCATTTGGCGGGAGCGAATCGTATGCTAAACATTCGTAAATTGCAGATCAAGGTGTTCAGAAGACTGTGCTGTATTTTGTCAGCATCCTCGCGTAAAAGGACTATAGGCGAAGAAGTTTGCAAATAGCTTTGTGAACTAATACAATGGAGGCCCTCAGATTATAAACCGTATCCACATTTATTGCTTATGCACACCATTAATCAACTGCAACTACCCATAAAACTAATCTACTGACTATTTTTCTGACAGATAATGGGATTACCACTGAGATGAGAAGTTTCTGTTGCGACAGTTTAACAATTTTAAGGTAAATATCTTCATTCTTGTTAGCCAAAGGCTATTTGAGACTGAAATTAAAGAGTACTAATGTAATGTAATTTTTGTTTGTTTTCATGCAGCCGGTTAACCTTCATTAGTTTGAATAAAGAGGGGACAAATATATTTGAAGGAAAATACCAGCTCGTTTTATTTCGTAGATCTTCTTCAACTGCGTACATCCTAAATAAACCAATTGTATGTTATAAAATTGCTGAATACACTTTTTACAATGATTTCAAGTAATAGATAGAAATCATAAGCAACATAATTCCAAAGATGATGTAATTAGATAATTATTTAACGTTAAAAGAGCAATTATTTGTATATTAATTAGCCAAAGGGATGGAGTTCAGATTTCGCTTGGAAACAATGAGGAACTACAGACAACATACAATATAGAACAACACAATTAATTTATACATATTAAGGTGGTAAGTTCAGGGGAGTGAGGGTTGAACAGTGAAGCAAAATTATAAAATTGATAAAATAATTTAATTTAGTAGATTTGGAACTTTAATAATGAGTCCATCTTAGTGTGTGAAAATCAAAATCAAGATTGAATGGAATGTTGTGAAACGGAATAAAACACATAGGCACACGAATAAAATAATTACAGTTACCAGGGTAATGAGAAATTAGTTACACTCTCTTTCTGTATACATAAGTCGGGTCGAAGTCTTTCGATGGCATTGGCTTCTGTGTACCTAGCGCGTTGTGTTCAGAAGATAGGATTAAAAAAGAACTCGCAGTCATTGAACAGAACCTTATTGAAAATCAATAGCCCTCAGAAGTTCATATCAAAATATCGGAAAGGAAAAACACAGACCCCCTTGTCTAATAACTACATAAATAGTGACTCTTTTCTTTTCCTTCACGTTCCCCAGTGGAACATAGGGCTTCAAGCTAGTGTCTTGAAGTTTCTGTAGCAGTGTTTAATTTTACAGGATGGGGTTGCTAGCCGCATACCTCCAACTTTTACTCTTTACCAGCATTATTTCTGGCTCAGCGAGGTAAAGGAGTGCGTCTGCGGCCGGGGATCGAACCGCCGACCATGTGCATGGTCTTTTAACACTAAATAATTGCCTACTTATATCATCTTTGGAATTAAGTTGCTTACACTTTCTATCTATAACTTGAAGTCATTGTAAAAAGTATGTTCAGTCATAAATTTTGTAACATATTGATTTATTTAGGATGTACGCGGTTGAAGAGGATCAACTAAATAAAACGAGCTGGTATTAGCCTGCAAATTTCTTCGTTCTTTCTTTATGCAAACTTCATTGTTCGGTGCTACCTTTGGGTCTGATTACGTCCTCTCTAAGTCTTTTCAGGACTGGAAAACGTTCTTCTCTACGAGTAATAAATGTAAGAAAATTTAAGCCTAGTTCAAATATTCATTTTAACTTTTAATTCGGTTAGGTATTAAAAGCTTGAATTATTCCACAGATAGAAATGACTACTTAAAAGTAGGTAGTAGTTCTTCTACTCAAATGATCAATGAAGGAAAACGTATGGCGCATTCACTGTATCCACATCCTAAAACGGAAAGTTCCCGCATAATTTATGCGTACCAGTTGGCCTTGTGATTCATTGAACCAAAAGACTGATTTAGAAGGAATAATTCAGATATTTCGTACACTGAGGTTTGACAGTAGTGTAGAATCGTATTCCTCAAAAAGAAAATAGGCACAGTTAGTGGTTAAGTATCGGGAAGCAAACAGTTGTACATTCGAGGGTGACTTCAAAGGGACTGTGTGAGTAGGAACTAAAAGCTCCTGGACAGTCGCGCGTTAATCTGAAAGAAACGGCTGGAGAGAACAGAGTTAAATGAAGATGTGCTTCTGAACCTCCATGTTCTACTTCAAACCCAAAGGAATATTAATAATGATAATGATGTGTGATTGAGTGAAGACGTTTGCCCGTAACTCTGGAAATCTAGCATAGTGCATGACCTACTGATTCACCTAGTGTTAACGCCTAACACACAAGTTGGAATCACCGTCAAAGTGACTGACTTTACTTTTTCCTTCAGATTATAATCAATAAAGCCAATATTAAAGTATTCAAGTGTTTTTGCAAACCAAACTATAAAAAATATTCAAGTGTCGGTTTGTAGGGATTTGATTGATTGGTTACAGGATTTCATCATGAGCTGACATTGATTAGAGAACCATTAGAAAACCTGGGAGTACTGGACAGCTGTTGCCCTAGCGACTTGCCCTATTCAGGTAGGTAGTTACCTGCGGTTCTAGTAAGAAGTCGTGACCAGTGGGGTGCAGCAGGTCAGGTGTGAGGACAAATACTCCCCGAAGACATTGGCTAGCGGTTGCGCTATATCGTGAATTGGCAGAAGTTAGAATTCATGGACCATTGGATTGGGTCCCAATGGCCTAATGGTATACGAGCTAGTTTGCTTTGTAACCAGAAGGTCCTGGGTTCGAACCTCACTGTGGTGGGTGCGTACTGTTGAAGAGTCCCAAACTGCGACGGAACAGCTGTCCAGTACTCCCAGGTTTTCCAATGGTTCTCTAACCAATGTCAGCTCATGATGAATTTCTGCAACATTAAAGTAACTCAGCCTTTTAAAGTTCATTAGTTTATTTCAGCTTTCGTGGTAAAGTTCATAGTCGAATTTCTGCGCACCTCCCATATTGGTTTGATAAAGCTCCGAATAAAGCTATAGGCAGCTCAATATTAGCTGGTCTCGTCGATACTGTACATCAAATCGTCTCTAACAAAGCTTTTAAAGTTATCTATCGTATATCACCCAACCTCTCACATGGTCTACGAGTATGACTTTTACATACAGCAGAGCCAATCGGAATTCACCTGAAAAAGCCAAATCTGTATGTCCAAAAGAAATTTGTAAAGGCCGTCTCTTTGCCATGGCCAACTATATGATATGTATTAAGTTTTAAAAAAGAATTTTTCCCCTCCCCTCGTAACTACCTATCTTTTGACTTTGTTAATTTTCACAATTCAAGCTTATTCTGTTAACTTCTTTAGATTTTACGTAAGTCTTCTGAGTCATCCTATTCTTCTTAGTCATCATTGCTATTTTACAAATTTCTCGATTATGTAATAACTTGTTGCTCCAGCCGAAGAATCAACTTGAATCTTGAATTCTGTAATTAATTTTCACCCCTCTTTTAAAAATTAGATATCTTGTTACTAACATCTACTATTTAATTGTTTCGATGACCTTTAACCTCCTAATTTCACATCCCTAGACCTAAAACTGATTAACTAATATAACCACTTAGTTGATAAAGAGAATGTTGATGTTAAAAACCATATATCAGTGTAGAGCCAGCCGAAGCGATGAGGAGCTAATTGAAAAGGAATACACATTTCTTTGCTCAATCTGTCTTTTTCTAAATGCTTAAATGGGAATTTGAAAATTTTCGAATCTTAGTTTGTCTCATTAAATAACAAGGAAACAAAAGTTATTTATAAGTCTAAGTTATTTCACTTACTTATTATCCATTCTGTCGACGTCTTTATCATTCATTTCCGATGATTCACTCTCGATAGGATCAGGCTGAAGAAAATCACAAGTGTCTAGTGTCATTAAACTTTTCCACTCCTTAAATTTTTCTCTTAGAGATTCAATTTCATAAAATGGTCCAACTTCTTGCTCATTATTCAAGTTATTTTTTAGCTTTTCAAGCATATGAATAAAAGTTGATAAGCCAAGATCATATAAGTTAATTAGTTTGATTAAATTATGTTCTTGCATTGTCAGTATTGATGATAACCTCTTCAGATAACAAAAGAAAAGAATAAAAATTTAAGAGAGTGTTTTATAATTCAGTAGTAAAAATAAGTAGTATATCAAAGAAGTTGGAAATTTACAGTTAAACAGAATTTTGACTTAATCAGCTAATAATTAGTGTAACAAGAATAGTATGGTAGTGAGAAGAGTCAAATTTGAACTGCGCAAGAGGTGGGCTTCCTGAAGTCCTACTCAGTAGTCTTCAGCTTTTAGGTCAAGTTATGTGCGAGGACAGATGCGCTCCCATAACACTTGAAAATGATGATGCTGTACTGTAAATTGAAAGGAGTTTAATGTTCCAGATTGTTGAATACCAATCTACTAGCTGAACGACATCATCACCTAGAAGTCCTAATTCGCGGGTTCAGTGTGGATATAGATGAATATTGCTGAAGGGTTCAGAACTATGACAGAAGTGCAATTAAATACTCTCTAGTTCCTAGTTGATATGAATTCCTAACAAGATCTACTCTGAAATTACTCGAAACCCCTAGAAACTAACATATAAAATTAAAACAATTTTAGATTTTTACCGATGTTGAATTGCATATGGTTGAGAATGTAATAAATATCTCTCTACAAGTGTTGGTTTGCAGGGATTTGATTGGTTTCAGAATTTCATCATGAGCTGACATTAGTTAGAGAACCATTGGAAAACCTGGGAGTACTGGACACCTGTTTCGTCGCAGTTTGCGACCCTTTAGCAGTATGCATCCCTCGGGATTCGAAACCAGGACACTCCGGTTACAAGGCGAGCTGGTATACCATTAAGTCACTGCGACCCGATCCAATGGCTAACCCATGAATTCTAACTTCTGCCAATTCATGACATAGCGCAACCCCAGCCAATGTCTTCGGCGAGTATTTGTCCTCACACCCGACCAGCTGCACCCTACTGGTCACGAATTCCCACTGGAACCCAGGTAACTACCTACCTGAATAGGGCCAGTCGCCAGTGAGCATCTCATTAGTATTCATGTGTTGGTTTGCTCGTCTTGTAACCGGAAGTTCCTGGGTTCGAATCCCGAGGGATGCGTACTGCTGAATAGTCCCAAACTAGGACGAAACAGCTGTCCAGTACTCCCAGGTTTTCCAATGGTTCTCTAACTAATGTCAGCTCATGATGAAACCCTGAAATATCGGTACAGATTAGGAAGAGTCATATCCTTCAGTTATAATGCAAGAACAAACATCAATACACCAGTTTTATAAAAGATCGTATTTTAAACGAAAATTGTGGTTTATACTTTTACCAATGAATAATATTCTATATATTTTTCAACTGGAAGCAAAGCTTTATAATTTGGAGACATTTATTTCAAGAAAAATCCCCATTCGAAAATTAATAGAGAGAAGACCAGTAGTTCGGCGAAGAGTCCCTTGTTGGCGAATTCATTTTTACAGCTCTATGTAGATATGACAGGTTCCCCGTACCATTCAACAGCGAAATAGTTAGCTGATATTTTAGAGCCTGTAAGAAAACAGATGTGCCACAAGGTTTACTGTTGAAACAGAAAACGGATCTAAAATTCCTTTTCTTGATGTTGAACTTACAAGAACAGCTGACGGAACTTTAAGAAGGTCCATCCATAGGAAACCCTCGTGGAACGGCCAACTGACAAGCTTCTACAGCTGGGTACCAACCAGTCAAAAAAGAAACCCAGTTAGATTCCTTGCTAACTCGCGCCTGACCCATCTGCTGCTTTGATACCCTGGAAGAAACACTACACTTCCTGAAAGAAATCTTCACGCAAAACGAATATCCACCAAGATCCATAGACAAAAACATCAAACAGAATATCCAAAAGCGGGAGACGCCATCCGTGCCAAAAATATACTTCATATAACCCTCGACTTCAGAGGTGACCTGCTCAGTGATATCTTCAAGAGGAGAATTTCCACTTCTTTCTTCGTGGCGACGCTGACAGTAGTGTTCTTCAGTCGCCCGATGATCTGTAAAAGCCTTATGGACGAGATCTCGCACCTGATCGCTTCTATGTGTGTATATCAGTTCACCGTTGCTGTGGAGCCAGGTATATCGGTCGTTCGATGCAAATCTTGTCAAAAATAGTTAAAGAACACTATCCAGCGTGGCTACACAAAGGAAGTAGTGGCCGTATAAGGAGTGCAATAATCGGACATCTCGTCACCACTGGTCATTCCATCTCAACAAACGCCTCCTTCAAAGTAATCTACAAAGTGAAGAACAATCTGCCAAAGACAATACGTTCCCGTTTTCTCTGCATTGCAGAAGCCCCAGTTATTCAGTTAGAAGAACCGGAACTATGCATACAAAAGAAAATTATTCAGCTACTTCTGCTATCATGGTAGCAACTCTTGTTTGCTTGTTTTTATAACTACTTAAATCTCTTACGTAATTCCGTATTTTTATTTTGTCTCCATGTTCACCCTGAGTACAACTCTTTCATCAAACTATTCATGTTATTACGTAACTCTTCTTTAACAATCGTTTGTGACGACTCATCACCTTTGTTACTACCCTCTTATATCAACATCCGATTCCTCTGAATACTTTTCGTATTACGTAACTTTACCAAAACTTACTAAATGTATTTTCCTTTGACAAAGTTAATGTGCACGCACACACAAAAAATAACCACATATATTTGCGATTGTACAGCTGTAAAATGAAGTCACCTAAAAGAGACTCTTCACCAAGACATTTTATTCTCAGACTTTAGACTAAATAGGTAGGCAACATCATTAAATTACCAATTTCCTTGTTTAAACATAACTCATTCTATGACTGTATTTGAATCCTTGTCATTATTTGTACAACTTTATTTTCTATCGTGAGTATAAAAACAGTGTGTTTCACTGCTCTTTGTAATCAACAGTTTTCGTTATAACAAATCTGGGCTTAATTGAGTCAGCGGTTCAATTTTAAGGTGCTTACCAGTGACGCAATAGGTTAAGGTACGATATCTCTTGAACCTCACTTAGTTTGCTAGAGGGCAGCAATCCCAGAAAAGAAGGAAGATTGGGCTTCAGGCTGGCTACCCCGCCCCCCTCTTAAAAACAAATAGAGCTTCTAAAAATCTTGAAACTGTATGTTTTACTCAGGATGCAAAGAATGAAAAGTAAACCTTGGTTTGATTTGGTCACCAGTTAATAAGAGCTGCCGGACACTAAAACTATATCCACTTGAAATATAAATGTATTCTACTCTACAGCAAAATCAATTATCAACATTTAGCTAAACAGAGGTAAGTAATCATGTACATGCTGAGCACTTGTAAGAGAATCTCCTACGTTTTATCTCTTTCTTTCTCTTCTGATGACGTTGCAATAATGTAGTTAAAAATCATCCAGTAAATACTAGTTAAAAATACTGATCGACGTAAATCGACAGACAGGAATATGAAGAAGATCAGAGTTACCATACAACTTCACCTAACTTTAGAAAAATCCGTTTAGTTAACCCCGAGTTAAAAGAAACTCTTATCCTTCAAATTATTCCTAAATATTTGCCGAATTCCCTTGGAAGTATATATATATATATATTTTGGGCCGCCAATTTAAAAAACTATCTTTCAATGCTAACAATGTGGATACGCTGAACTACAATAATGTATGTGTGCTTACAGGTTTATTTACTTTAATGAAGTTAAGTTACAATATGCGCAAACTTCCAGAATATGGTAGTCAGCGCCATAGAAACACTGGCAGTCCTCAACTTTCAATTTCATCTGTGCATTGAAAAGAAGTAGGCGCAGTTGCTTTCTTTACTGAGGTTCTATAGTGTCATTCTGTAAGTTTTATTTCATGACCCATTAAACTATTCCTTCATTCTTCAACTGCCTCAAACTTTATGCCATTTGGATGATGGTAGTTAGCAGTGGAATCCAGGATGCGTATTTCGTTCTGTTTGGGACTCACTAGATGGTTGTAGCCCTTTCCATGGTGAGTGATGGTGTATCCATTGAGAATCGAACCCAGTACCCATTGTTTCACATGCCAGAGAGCTATCCTCACACTTTTTTTCAAGGGCCATCAAAATATGCACGAGCGACACATTGATAGATGAGCTTCAGCATATACATTATTAGCTAATGGTTATCCAGAAAACTTTATCAATTATCCCAGTAAGGATAAACCACATCTAGAAAAGACAGCTTTTATATCAAAGAAAGCTATCTTTATTAACCTACCATTCAAGGGTGATCGAATTATGCAGTTGACAGCTCAAAGACTTCGGTCAACGATCAAGCGCACATTCTACGAAATTCTGTGGACTTTACCGGAAACTGTATCTACAAGTTCACCTGTAGTTGCAGTGACACCTATACAGGTAGGACCAATGTTCCAATGTAGTCGAAAAGAACATGTTCCAAAATGCTTACCATGACACAGAAAATCCCAATGCAATTAATTTGAGTAGAAATCCCAAATTGTCATCCATTGCAAACCGCTTATTAATGTCAGGTCACAAAATTAATATTGATGAATGTTTCACAATTATTTCAAATAACTCTAATTCATGGTTGGTTATTAAAGGTGATAGAAGTACTTTGGATTAATGACATACATCCTAAACTATGTTTACAAAAAAACAAGAGACTTCGACCTTCGCCTGCCATGGAATGTAAATATGATTGGTCATTAGTATGTACTTTTGTTTTATATAACTGAATAATTCTCATGCACTTTATTTTATTATTGTAAACCAAGTTATTTGTAAGGCGGTTGTAAAGAAGCTACGAAATGATGGTATCATCTCGCGAAATTTGTCTTCTAAATACCTTATTCAAATTTATCGAACGGACTAATTGTTTTAACTTTTTACACTGTTCTATGTGTCAGGCGTTATTCAATCACTCCATCATCTACGCCTATTTTTCAAATGTGGGACATAAGTTCCTTCAGGGATGCAGATACGCCTTGCTGATGAGTGCCAACTAGCACGAAACCTAGGTCCAAGGCTTTCTAAAGATTGCCTTCGACTATCTAATGTGACGTTTCATCAAACTAGAAAACACCGAATGTTTTATGTGTAAGCTTACATTATAAATATCTTCGAGTCCATTGATATCATTTGTTAAATTCAACCAATGAAATAGTTCTGAAGGTTGTTGACCGCTTAAATTCTCTTTTAAAAATATAAACAATGCATGAAATTCATCTGAGGCTGATTTCAATAATAACTTTAAATCGTAGAGATTTAATTCGAAATTTGTATTCTGAAAAAGTTGCTTATAAAATTTCGGTTGTGCTGTATTCTGTGAACCACATTCCAGTTTTAATATTGAACTGAACACATTAGGCTTGTATGTTTTAACATTGGCAGTTCGATTATATTTTAACTGACACTTTTCTTCTGTCGCCTTCATAATTTTCTCTTCGGTGTAATCAGAATTAAAATCATCACCATCATCACCATGATCATCACCGTCGTCGTTATCGTTGTCGTTTCCAGAATTATTGACATCATAATGACCAGAATTCAAACCGATATGATTTATTAGATCATATTTTTTCACATTCCACAATTCACTTATTTTATTTAACACCTTAAAATGGAGAGATCAAAGGGAGGAGAAAAACAGGAGTCAGTGTGGGTAGTTAGTGGGGCAATACTTGTGTTAGGAAATATGTGCTGTAGCAAAAGAATAGCTGAAAAATAGCTAAGCTCAAATGATGAACTGACTTCAGTCAGAGAACTACTCAAAATCAGGGGGTACTGGACAGCTGTTTTATACTATTTGAGACTCTTCGCAGTACGCACCGATAGTCCCCGTTAGAATATGGAGCGCAAGACCTCTGGATTGTTAAGTGAGTCTAATGACATTTCATCCACTGGGATGGTATCCAGTGGCGCACTAATTTTAAGTGATATCATTCTGTGATCTGTCTGGAAATCAGTGAAATCACTCCCACAAACCAACACTTGAAAGTTATTCGAATGCTCACTGGTTAGTGACTGCAAGATGAAGTTGCCTGAAAGCTCTGATGGGAAGTTGCCACTAGTGGAGTCAATCCAGTCGAGTTTAAGGACAAATACTCATCGACAGCATCATCTGGTGGTGGCTATATAAAAAATAAATTAACAGAATTTAATTTGTGGATAGTGACTAGCAGTGGAATCCAGGATAACACGCATTTCGTCCCATTTGAGGTTCATCATCTGGATGTACCTACATTCCCCAGTCACTGAGTGATGATGTTCCCACCGAGGCTCGAACCCAGTGCCCATAGTTTCAAACGCCAAATCGTTATCCACTAGACCACTTGGGCCACGAAAGCCACCTCTTGTGCAACGAGTCATATTAATTTTATTGAATTTTAGGTTTTCCCGTCGGTTGATTGGACCGAAATGGATGAAATGGGCATCCTGGATTCCACTGTTAGTCACCATCCACAAATTAAATTCTAATTACATGCCCAGCCATCCTCGAAGCATCTGCACAGCAAACCGACATGTCAGCCAGAGACCGAGCACTTCAGTCCAATCAACCGACGGGAAAATCTAAAATTCAATTAAATCAACATAAGTTAGATTTTATAGACATCTGGATTCTGTCCCAATGACTGAATGCTAATACGGATTTGCCTTGTAACTTAGTTTTGGGTTAGATCCCCAGTAGGGTCATAGACTCATACTGATGGAGAGTTGCAGAATGAGACAAACAATTAGCCAGCACTCCCTAGTTTTCAATGGTTTTCTGAGTGGCGTCAGTTTATAATCAAACTTGAAATCAACTAAATCCCTGGAAACCAACACTTGAATATTAATCATTTATCTCTTTAATTATTATTATCATTGTTTCCTTGGATTTCTAGTGGAACATAGGGCTTCAACTGCACGTCTCCACTTGCTTCTGTCTTCCTTCTGCTGTACTTTTCACATGCATCCATGTTAGTCCATACTCTTTCAACTCCTCTTCACACGATCTCCTCCATGTCACCCTTGAACTGACGTTCCACTCGCCGCTTCCCTTTCAGCCTGGTTCCACTCAAGCAATGGCCTGATGCACGCGCAATGTCACCCAGCGGCCTCCTCAGCGAGCGAGTGTCCAATCCATCTACCTCCACTTTCTCCTGCATATTTGTTGGTTGGCGATTGGTTCTTGTTTCGTTTGTTTGTTCCCAGACATAGTTTCTTGTTGGTGATTCTTTCTAGCCCGGCCATCTGATCTTCAGTATAGATCCAGCGAAGACAGTTATTGGTTGATAAAGGTCTGCAACAGGCTGTTGGAAATATTCTTTGTGACCCGCCCGCCCAACAAGTTTCTGATCCGTATAGAAGAGCTGACGGAATTTTGTTATTGATGGTGAGTGACGAAGATTTCCAGATTGCTTGTTTCAGGTTGATGAGTGAATGTGTTTCTCGCCTTCCCGATTCTCACTCGATTTGACATCCTCGTCCGTTCCTCCAGTCCTGTAGTTGAGACAATGCTCCCTAGATCAGTGAGTGAATGAAGTCACCTCTTTCAAATCCCTCGCGTTGATGTTGATTGATGCTGGATGTTGCTGTTGTTGTTGGTTGTTTATTTCCATAACCTCCATCTTGTTTATGTTCACCCGGAGTCCTATCTCTTTAATTACTTAAATGAAATTAATACCTTTGAATAGAACCTTTGAAAATGACATGAATTGCAAACATTTGTAATCAAAAATACTGAACATTCTATTACTAAATTCTTATTTTGCCTGAGTAGCTTTATAATTGATAGAATTTTGGTCATATTAAGCAATCTTGTCAATTCCACCCAATTATATACTCCTCCCCCATCTTTTTTCCTTTGTCTGAACTGTTTCTTTTCTTCAACTTTTACGGATGTTACGGCATAAACCATCTACTTCTTTGTGGATATGAGAATTTGAAGTATTTTGAGATTTCAAATTATTCACTGAGCACACAAGACACTCTAAAGTTTGATTTGTCATTACATTTATAACAATGTAAGAATTCATTTACATATGTTTTGTAAAATATTTGATACTTTCTGACAGCTTTAACTCGAAACAAGGCGACATAAAAAAGACTGTCGTTATTTACTCTTTATAAAGCATGTGTATCGCTAGTATTCTCGAAATAATTCACAAACGAAACTGAATACTTCCCCTACCCTCTCAAAAAAAACTAGAAGAAACAGACAAAAACTGTGGATATACCTTTAGGAATTATGTGCTATGGCATTTTTTAAGTTTCCACACAAGAATCGACCATCAAATAAATAAGAAATCTAAATTCTCATCATTTCAAATCAGTATTTGGAGATAAATTAACTTGGGGTAAACGAAAATAGCTTCATATTGGGTTGTGAAGTTCATCTCATGGACAGGTAGACAGATAATATGTGAGTTAGAAATACGTTACAGTTTAGATTTTCTGACAGCTTCAATCATTTCTTAATGATATTGAAATCAACAATGATATTGCCAGATATCTCGTTGATAAAGGTCATGAGGTAGTTGCCTTGGAATCCTATAATATTACCAATAGACAGTATAGTTCACTTCTCCTTAAATTTGCCTAAGCATTTGTTATCAAACGCTTGAAATCCGACTGATGTATTCAAAAAGAAGCAGCTCTCAGTTTCTCATTGACTTGATAACTCCTTGTCTTTACTGTCTGTCTTTCTTTTATTCGATTACAAAATGTTTGGCTTCAACCTCTTTCTCTTTCTCTGTGCTATAATTATTGTTTATCTTCTGAATTGTACTCATCACTTTGTTAGACAGATTACTTGTCGCTTGTCATCTTATCCACGTCTTGTCTTTATCACGCAACTCCGTTTTCTTTGTGTCTCGACATTTACTACTTTTTGGTATTGTTTTACTTAAACTTTGAACTGTATACAAGTTATATAAGTGTAATTTCTCATCAGTGTTTATTAAGCTTGGAGTCTCCAGTTGACTAGCATCATGTCGTCTCTGCAATTAGTTTAAAATTGCTCTGTAAACTTGATAAAAGCTTTTAGACTGTACACAACGGACTAGATGCCAACGACATATATATCGTCTTATTCTGCACAAATCGTTTTTTTTTTGCTTTATTCAAATTCATACAAGGAAATAGACATTGAAAGCAGTTGAAACAGTCACCCAGCACAAGTGTAAAATAAACATACTGTATAATTTGAGTAGTTTGATTACGAAATTGAATAATAATAGGAAATTCAGTTGTTGAAAACTTTCACACGGTGCTTTGGAATTCTAATTTTAGAGTAAATACTTTATAAACTGCCCGTTACATTTGCACTATCGTTTACAGCTGACTAACTCTATGTGAGTTTACCAGTCTACTTGCTTCGGTGGAGCTACTTACATCGGTCATTCAACGCGGATTTTGTTTAAGAGGGTGCAAGAACACCACCCTGCATGATTACAGACAACTGGAAGTGGTGCTATTTGAAGCTCAATAATTAAAACCAACTGGTCGATACTGGTCACCTTATTTCTACAGTCACTCCCTGTAAAGCTCTCTGTTTATATTTTCTTATTCCTTTACGTTCCCAGTGGAACACAGGGCTTCAAGCTGGAGGCTTGAATTGTCAGTAGTAGTGGTGTTCATTTTTACGGGATGAGGTTGCTAGCCTCATAGTCCCCCCCCAACCTTCCCTCTTTACTAATATTATTACTAGCTTACCATGTTAAAGGAGTGCGTCTGTGGCCGGGTATCAAACTCCGGACCACATGAGGCGTGGTCGTTGAGCATTCTACAACTGTGCCACCGATGCACTTTAAAGTTATCTATAGAACAAAAAAATATCTAATAAATTCATTACATATCCCAGTTATTTGTACTTCTAAAGCTTTGTCTATCGAAACAGAAAAGCGAAAACCTTGATATATACAGGAAAAGGTTTGTTCAACCATTCCTCTTATGATCCTAATCCATCTGTGCTAAACTATGATAATCTTCATTCCTAATTTTGTCGTTTTGTTTATTCACTATGTATATCCATCTCTTATTATTTCCATTGTTATTGTTATTTTGATAGAGAAAGAAAGACCAGATTTGCAGTATAAAATGATATCATTCTATTTCACAGGTTCTCATCAGCTGCAAACTACCTGAAATTACAATGGTTATCAATAATAACATTTCATACTTCATTGTTTGAGAGGTAATAGAGAAAACATTATTATTATTTACACTGTGAACAATTTTCGATATTATCTCACTTGTCACCTTTAATCATTTATTTGATTCACAGGATAGTCTGTGCAGTGTTGTGTGACCATATTTCTGGCTGTGTAGTGCAGTTCTTTAATTGTCTACTAATCTTATTAATTCTATACCCCATCTCATAGAGATTTACACATTTCATGAACTGTTTTATACAGCACATAACCATCTTTTTGTAGCTTGATGTTTAACTACTGTTAGATCGTAATTCACACTATTACCTGATTAAAAATTCTTTGATGCAGAGGAACTTGGCAACCTTTTATCTAGACTATGTGCATCAATATAATCAAATACATGTTTATATATGACAATTTATTTGAGAGGTACATTAGTGACCTTGGACGTGAGAGATGATTAATAAACTCGTGGAAAATCTAAAAGCTCATTTCAAATTGAAGTATGCGCTGAAGATGTTGCCTAGTAGGGCGATGAAAGCTTCCCAAATTAACTATCCAGCTCAGAGAACACAACCACACCAAAGAACACTGAAATCTTTATTACCTTGAGTAAATTTAAATGTATCATCGATGGAAAACTTAGATGTTGTGGTAAGGAGAATCCGCCATATCAACTATTGGGCTTATGAATTTTCGGCTGTCTATACGAACACGGAATATTGAAGCCAACGGGTTGGCCCATATATATATATATATATATATATATATATATATATATATATATATATATATATATATATATATATATATATATATATATATATATAAGGCATTTGGAAGACAAACTCACGAAATGGCTTCATTTCGCAGTTTCTTAATAACCTCTTTACAACTAACATGGTTCATAATAATAAAGTGCATCACAATTATTCAGTTATTTAAGCAAAAGTACATACTAATGACCAATCATATTTAAATAGATCAAGTAGTCCATGGTAGGCAACGTTTGAAGTCTACTGTTTTCTGTACACATAGTTTAGGATGTATGTGAGGAATCCAAAGTGCTTCCATCACCTTCATTAACCTTCAATTAGAGTTATGTGAAATAAGTGGTGCACTTTATTTTACTATTGTTAACCATGTTAGTTGTAAAGCGGTTGTAAAAGACCTACGAAATATGTCATCTCGCAAAATTTGTCTTCTAAGTGCCTTATGCAAATTTATCAAAGGTACTAACTATTTTGATATTCTATTTGCTATTATATCATTATTATTATTATTATTTAAGCATCTTTAACGAACTGTAATGCCATTGATCTTACTTTACAAATCGATATGATTTAAAAAAACAATAATATTGTTATTGACTACTATTCCAGAATATTCTATATATATATATATATATATATATGTCCTAGTGGGGTTTTTCCATAATTGTTTATTAGATGTATCACACAGTGAAACAGTATTATTATTTAGTGGATCACGTTTCGAACAAAATTTATTGTTCATAATCACCGCATCAATTATAATCACACGACTTTGAAACTTGAGTTCTATAGTTTTCTTTGTTCTCTCCTATTTGTTGTCGTAGGGGCAGCAGAATTTTCCAGATATCTGAGATAGGTGTTGAATCATTCCTATTACATGTATTTGCAGTTGATTCGATAAACAAAATTGAGAAATCGATAAATTGACTACGGAAGCTTTCTTTATGGAATCAACTTCAAACACGTATAACAGAAATGATTCAACACCTGTCCAGGTAAATATCTGGAAAACTCTACTACCCCAATGACGAAAAATAGGAGAGAACAAAGAAAACTATAAAACTCAAGTTTCAAAGTCGTGTGATTGTGGTTGGTCAAATGATTATGAACAATAAATTATGTCCGAAACCTTGTCATCCAGTAAATAATACTGTTTCACTGTGTGATATATCTAATAAACAAACTAATATGGAATTAATTACTACCACAGTGCCCAAGTTTTAAACATATACTAGTGGGTTTTTTCTGTAAACTGACAGTTTAAGTTATAGAACATGATTTGATCAGGCAAATGAGTATTTTCGAGAAATTTTGATCAGGCTTTACAATTACATAATGATAAAATATCAGTTATAGACTCCATCATAGATCAGATTTTATTTTGGTAAATCACACAGTGTTGTACAGTAATATTAACTGATGACGTTTCGGGCACAAATCATTGCTCGAATTCATGTTAAGTCACTCACACAACTTTTTGCTTCATTTTTATACATGAGTAATACTGATTAGACATCTGAATAAAAATTAAAATTCTAAAATGTAATATGGGTAGGTGGAGTGAAAGATTGATTACTGAATCCTGGTTCATCGAGTCTACACCCAACACATACCACAGAAATGATTCAACGCAAATACCAGAGATATGAAAGATGTCATTACCAGTCAAATTGGAGAATAATAAATAATTTTAATATGTATTCAATTCACATTACAACATTCTAACAAGTTACTTATTTTTACTACAAAAAACATCTTATTTCCCGTCTGATTGTATTCGATTGATAACACTAATATAATTGGTTACAGGATTTCATCAAAAGCTCACATTGGTTAGAGAACCATTGGAATACCTGGGAGTACTGGACAGCTGTTTCGTCGCAGTTTGCGACCCTTCATCAGTATGCACCCACTGGCGTTCGAACCTAGGACCTTCTGGTTACAAGGCGAGCTCGTGGACCATTAAGCAATTGGGACGCGATCCAATGGCCCATGAACTCCCAATTCTACCAAATTACAACATTACGCGACCACTAGTCAATGTCTTCGGCGAGTACTTGTCCTCACACCCGACCTGCTACACCCTACTGGTCACGAATTCCCACTTGATATGACTGTGAGCAATAATTTGCGCTCGAAACGTCATCAGTTAATATTACTGTACAACACTGTGTGATTTATCAAAATAAAATCCTATCTGTTATGGAGTTATACTCTACCACAGTGGCCTAGTTTTATACTTATTTCAGTTAGAGACATTGGAAATAATTTGGATCAATAGGGTCAAACAGAATTAAGGAGAATGTAAGTAGAAGAATAATAAATTGTGCAACTAAGATTAAAATATGCAACCATAGCAGAGTATGACATTGATGAATAAATTAATATTACAACAGTATTTACAGTTATCCGGTATCAATGGGATAACTATTCTAAGTCAGTGTTGAAAGCCATGGGAGTGGAAGAGATTGAATAAATTCCTTTTTAATACTAAGATTAGGCTGAAAATACCTTTATGGAGACTGCCTCAGATACGCTTAGCAATCAAAAGTATACAGACTTCGGGAATTGAGGTATTACCTTGTATAGAAATGTAAAAACTGAATTTTTATCAATCTTGTGATCCATATCCACAGGGTGTGTGGAACTCCTTTATTTAACCATATTGAACAGTGCTCAAGAGGGAGACGGCAAGCTTATAAACTTATACATACACACTGAAGTGGCAAGACTCGGAAGCGTATCTTTCCCCTTCAATGGAATTATGCAACGAATGGTAAATTTTAAATGTAACGTTGCGGCAAAAATCTTTTAGCTGTTATTTTTTGGAGTTTTGATCTCAGTAATTCGGTGGCTGTGTCTCTTTTGAACAGCGAAGTCATATGTATATGTACCTTCTGCACACTTTGCAGGCATTTCTCTCTATCTGTTCTTATCATGCAGACATCAACAAATTTTAGTGAATTCACTTTTTACAGAAGGTAAAACTATGATCATTTTAGAGATTCAAATAGAAAATTACAACTCCAAAAGGTAACGAGAAACGTTACAAGGGAATTAATAAGCAACAAATTATTCGAGAATAAAATTTACAGAATAAGTCGTAGGGAAAAAACCAACCTTTTGTGTTGTATCTTGAACATCAGTAAGGTGAACATTGATGTGTGTCACATAGTCCAGATTCCGGTTTCTTATAAAGCAAACAGAATGAAATTAGTAGTTATTAAAGACTATTTTATCAATTCACCAAACAAATTGAAATGAGTCATTGAAAGATTTTTGGTGTGTTCACAGTTTAGAAACAGTGGGAGACAATTTAGCAAAGCAAAACGGAGGCAAACAAACTCTGAATGTCGATGAGGCTTCTGTTCGTGTAAGATTCGAGGTGATATTGGTGTATCAATTTTAAATGACAGGATGAAGTAGGTTTGGAAAAAGGTTATTCGTAGAGCTTTATTATGTAAAACAAGTAGCTTTATTGAGACACTTGTCTTATTTCAGTCAACTTCTCTTTTTAATTAATCAATCTGACTTGGCGCTCAAATTATTCCAGGAAGTTCGTAACACCTACGGTCTGGGAAATTATAACTTCTCTGACAACTTACTGACTTGTCATTATGAAAAATACATTAACTAAGGTTTCAGAACTCTGGAAAATCACATTTAAAAGGAGAGAAACAAAAGCGTAGTGGAACTTCAATTGAATAAGATTTGTGAAGGAGATGAGAGTTAGTGAGAATTTTCAAAATTTCAATAATAAATTTGGAGTGAATATATCTGAGCCAGTGTGAAATGATTTTAAGCCATTTTGATGACCTTTCCTTTATCAGACAAACCAACAGTCACAGACTTCATAAATTCACGCCATGTTTCTGTCAAACATATTATCACGATTCCTGACGATGTATAGAAAGCGACTAATACATCAGGGACAGACAATCTCATGTGTATACAGTGATTTCAGCAGATTAGCAACCTTTCTAGTTTTCATAAGAGTTATAATGCTAGCAGTTCTAAACTTTCTGTTCAACATAAGTTCGAAAAAGCCTTGGTTTCTTCCTTAGGTAAATCTGAAAAGACGTATTTTGTTTTGAAACGTTCGATTGTTCCATACGAATTGTGAGTCATTGAGAGACCTCAGCTGTAGAAAGAAGTTCATATTTCTTAGACAAACGTAGTTCATTAGTTGAATCGACAAATAAAGAACATCCTTATAGACTCCTTATGTATACGTGTATATGTGGCATGAGGATAAACATGGATTTAGATGACATTTTTAATGATCACATAGTTTTTACCGTAGAATACAGAAGCTTCTTCCAACCAAAGTCTTCACCAATCGTTTTGCCTGCCTTTGGGCTGTCCTAACAGTCAGCGTAATATTTAGAAACGTTTGAGATAAGAAATGAACATAGATAGTTAAGACCAAATATTCTAACAGACCAACCATGTAGAAAGTGCTTTCAATCTGCCGAGTCAGTTTACGTGTTACTTGGGAAGATTATAAATTATTAAAGTAAATAATAGTAATATGGTACTTACTGTACATCATCTTTAAACGTTGGATGTAAATACATTTCAAATTTTTCAATTTTTCTCAAGAGTCCTTCCAGATAAAAATTAGATGACATAAATAAATATTCAAGATGTTCAGAAAAGCGTATAACTCCTTCTGTACACGCTGTTAGTAATTCATACAACTGTGTAATTAACTTTCTTGTCATGAGAAAAGATCTATCGTACATAAATACCCATTTATCTTTAGACGTTTGAAGTTGACCTATGATATTCAGGATATTTCTATCACAAAACTGAAAAGATTTAACAAGTATTAAAAATAATGACTATTAAATATTGTATCTTACTTGTCAGTAAATCGAAATCAATTGAAAGCTTACACTAGATTAACTTTCACTGGATAATCCGATAGAGAATATTCAAAATTCACAATGGTTGTGTGAACTTTGAAAAGTATTCAAGTTATATGAGGAGGAAAATTGTTCGATGTTATCCCATCACGAAATTTTACCCATCAAGCCTCATGAAATCGTCCGTACTGACTATGCTAGTGATTTTAAAGTGATAGGGGGCTGCAATTAGTAAACAGTACGCCAGTGTTTAGAATATTTCAGTTCGCAAAACACATACTTGAATTAATTTCTTCTTGTCCACGAAGTCAAGGTTTGGTTGACAAAACGATAAAATGAAGTGAATTAAGCTATTTTGTACGTTTTGTTTGTCCTTGTTTGATGAGATTCATTATGATAATAACTTGTGCGAAATCTTTGAATGCTGATTTCATATATTTCATGGGGCAGGCGTCAAATTAGTATTACAGTTTTAGTGGTCCAAAGTAGCAGGGATAACCAAGTATTAACTGCTTCATTCTTATTATTATACTGTAGGCAGAGAAGGAATTTAATTGCAAATTTCAAAATTACAGAGGATGACTATGAATCTCACTTGCCTTCCATTTTCTCTCCCACCATGTAGGAACATCTCAGAGGATATAGTAAGATGACAAAAAATCTATAGATGAGTAATATCTTCATGAGTTACCGTTTCTGCCACTGAGTTAATTTTCCTAACCCACTTCCAGATAAAGTGTCATTTGTGCTGTCAAGCGACTCTTTCAACGGTGGAGAGACAGGCACAGATACTTACCAGAAAAGGGTGAACATAGACCCCAAAAGAATCAACTTAAGTTTAATATTTTCAAAAGGTTTCACCAGCGAAACATTTCAGCACATTCTGGAGGCAACAGCATGCAGTAAATACCAGTAATGTACATGCTAGGTCTACTGTCCTTTTGAAATGTTTTAGTAACAAGTAGCTTAAAAGCATTAACTTAGTGCGCTAAACAACTCTAAAATAATTGTTATTAATTATATATATACGTAATATGCTGAAACAGTCTTGCGGCTCAAATAGCAGTTTGTGTAACCCATATTCGGCCACTGATGGATTAGGTGTTTGTAAAAAGATTTTAGAGGATAAATTTGAGTTTCGGAGATCAACAAATATTGATTTCAGAATCATTGTTTTCTACCCGCTCGTGTTTTTCTGTTTTGCAGTATACGTTCAACAGCATGTAGCGGTAACTTCCCAAAGTTATTAGTCTACAGTATTCTTCGTTCATAACTGGGCTCTTACTACCACTGTTTAAGTCGGCTTGTCAATATGAAGGTACATGATAAAGCATCCATACCATCTGGTACTCTGTTTTGTTAAGTTATATCGTTCTTACAAGATAGTAGCCATCGCCAGTCTGAATCTCTAATTCTGAAATATGTAACTCGTATTCTGGATGATCACTTTGTTGTTTTAATTTGTCTTTGGTCTCAGTAGAACAAGTACTTTGAGAGATGGAGGATAAAAACTGATGTTTGCATGCAGAATATAACGACGACATCCTTTATCTACGCACAACTCATCAAAAAGGTAATTATGTTATTGTTTTCATCATTGATTTTTAATTCTATGTCATTGTACTAGATAACGAGGAATTCAAATACAGCTGTATATAATCTATAAATAATCACTTTGTCCAATACTGTATGGTAGCCTGTTTAGTTTCAACAAACTTTTTAAATGCTCTTCAACAATTTATAATTTTTTGGCTATTTATTACCACTGATTAATTACCTACAAGCTCTATGTGCAATAAGTTTATTAGACACTACGGGAAATAGTCCTTCTTTAAAGTTCTAAGGTGTTAAGTGTAGTTTTAGATATTCTGTTTACACTTTGTAGATTATCTATTTCCACTTTCAGTTACCATTTGTGGTGATTGATGGAAAACGTGAAAAAAGCTTAACTCACCATTTTCACCACATCTAAAGCCAAATAAAAGCACACATGGTTTTCTTCACCATATTTTCTTTGGTTGCTTTCAATTCTTTGAAGTAGCAGTTTGTACAATTTATGGACATTGGATATTGCAGTCTCATTTGAATTTGCAGAAGATATTACATGGATGAACTATACTGCAATATTAGCATATAGAGCCTGCATACCTCCAAATGTAAATTACCGACTTCTAAGAGGAGTTTTGTATTGCTTGAACTCGCCTCTGTTAGACATCTATCCAGAAAATAACCTCTAAGTTCAATCTACCTTAGTGCTGCTTGTAGGTTATTTCTGTTTTGTAAGCCTTCCACGTTTTTCAGGCAAAGGTCATCTCTGCCTGATACGACAGCCAAACGTAAGCTGGAATATTTTTATTAGTACGAATACTTACTTGCTGCAAATATTAAGCAGATACTCGAAAATCCCATCATACTTTTGAAGCAAATTAACAAGCAAATTTCGGTCATTATTTTGTTCACATGAAATCTACTTAACAGTAAAAGGCCTCCATGAACGTACTGAAAATAGTGCGTTTTCAAAAACTTTCTTGACATCACCTAGTAATATTGAACTTTCCTCCTTAAATTCATCAAAATGTTTGCTATCATTAACTGATGAGATACGAAATATTGGGTGTTCTTGTAATATGTTATCGAGTTTTGTGCACAGATCAGTCACATCTTTTCTCCTCCTAATGATATGCTATGATATTTACTCGAAGATTAGGTACTTTATGTGAGAATTTTTATTATTATTAAGAATTACACTACAAAAATGTAATGCACATATATCGCTTGCCTAAATGAATCAGCCATATCTGGAACAAGTTCAGGTGGGCTTTTATCTGTTTTGTCCAAATTGCTGGTGGTGTTTAAAAATCTCTTAGTTTTTTTGGTATTAATGACAAAATTTTGAAACTCCGACGTGTTCTTCGGAATATTAGCGATTGAATGGCTAGAACATATGTCCTTCGACCCTTTCAACAAGTAATTAAGTAAGAGTATATAGAGTTTAGCGCTTACGATGCGATTTAGGTTGAAGAATGTGTGACAGTATTTCATCAGGTATAAAATCCATTTTCGAATTTGTAACAAGCTAGTTGCTAGGTCGTCAAGGTTGTCATACGGTTAGGTAGCTGCAATGAAAAATTCGCCTAACTTTGTCAAAGGTCGATCATCTGGGTTCTAATATCACAAAAGTCTTATATATAACTTGGATACGACATGCCGATTTGCTATCTACTAATCCATCAATTACATTAGAGATTAGAATACAGTAGAAACCATTAGTAGTGTAACAGAGAAATCAGTACAGCTTGCAGTAAAATGAGTCTCATACACCCACATATGGTGAATGTCTTATCAAATGCCAAGCATCTGAAAGGTTAAAAAGTAATTTCATGCAATCGCAATACTTAAACTTGGTTGGTAAACTTTTCCAATGCACTTTGAAAGACAGTCTCAGCCTGCAAACAAAAGTTAAATCACCAGTTGGCCTGTGGATATTATATCAAAGGCTCTGTTGCCATAGGAAATCTTGACTTGTGTTTTGGAAGCGTGAAAAGGAAAATGGCAATCATGCGATTGGACACTGACTATTACTGTCTCTGAAATAAGTGAAGCAACTCACCAGTACATGAGGGACCTTGACCTTGGCGGCCTGTTGAATTTTTGGGCCTGCTAACAAAATATCTACATTTTGCATCCAGTTTCCCGTTTACCAGCATACACTTATCACTTAAATATGAATTCTAGCAGAATCATTTACTCTCGTAACTTTATTATTAATAATAATTAACCATTTGAACACTGATAAATCTGGATGAAAGTTCCGTTGGGTCGTCGTATGGTCCTTAAATTAATATATGTGATTCATTCATTTTAATAATTACAAACAAACTGGTCTTTAACACTGAGATTTTTCGTTTCTCTGGTTCATTTTAACCTTTGTATGTATAATAATAATAATAATAATAATAATAATAATTGCTTTATTCCAAAAACAGTACTCATGATACAGCAAGGAATTTTCAGCATTAAGTATTTGGGCGACAGGTATGTATTTTTTCTACTTGACACCGTTAAGTCATCACTGTGCTTGCTAAGTATCTCTTGTTGTAATAATTATTTTTCCTTCACGTTTCCAGTGGAACATAGGGCTTTGAGCTAGTGACTTCAAGTTTCTGTAGCAATGTTTATTTTTACAGGATGGGATTGCCAGCCTCATGCCCAACCTTTTCTCTTTACCAGCACTATTTCTGGTTTAGCGAGGTAAAGGAGTGCGTCTGTGGCCGGGGATCAAATCCCGGACCATGTGCATGGTTGGCGCTGTGTCCTAAACGCTGTGCCACCGACGTACATCTCTTATTATAGATGATGTCATCTCTTGACCTGGTACTGTAATATGAACTCTGCGTTAATGAGCATAGAAGCCTACAAAAATTATGTGGTTTATTGGCAATCATTTGTTGAAAGACACAGTTTACAAGGATTTGCTTATAGTTGCTTACCTTGTGTTATCCCTTGCACTATGTGTTCTCAGACTAAGACATCTACGCACTGCCGCACATTTAATTCCCTTTGTAAATGATGTACTCATGCAGACTAGTTTGTTTGCATAGAAATGTATTAATACCTAATATAAGATAATTGCTACCAGTAGATGGTACGATGGGTTTTTTCCTTAGGATTGTTCTGGAGCTTTAACTATATAAGTCACAGTATGGAGAATTACCCATAATGCGAGATCCATGCATTTGAGTGGACGTATGATCAGCAGAAGAATGATCACGAATGACGAATTTCAGGGCCTTTTTATACCTTGTTCTGAGAAATAAATTTATAGACACCACTGCTCTGAATTCAGGGTTAGGGCCACTTTCATCGATACAGTGAGGAACAACCATATAGTCAAACCCTTGTAGACTTTAAAAGTGCATTCTCCACCGTTGATAAATTTATTTAATTGTCTAGTGTATGAATGCTATTTACGAAAATATTATGGCTTCTAGTCGCCCCTCTTCGCTTCCTTTTCAGTTTCATTAACTCTGCTGATGGAGCTCAAAGAAAATTGTCCAGGTGCATAAAACATATGTCCATTGTATTGGTTTACTGTAATAATACATAGTACAGTACATGAGGGACGCCAGTTTACAGGCATCATCAAATTTTTACAGAAATAGAACCATGTTATTCAGTCACAATTTACAGGCGGTAGCATAATATGTTTTACATGTACGCCGGAGATTATACATACACTTGATAAATGTTAATCCCAATAGTATAAAACATCCTTTTCACTTATGTGCAATCATTTCTGTACATAGTTGGAAAAATCTGCTAGACTGCCAGTGAGTGCAACACATCAGGAAATACAGAAGTATTGTCTTCGCATCAACAAAATAACCAGGTCTTTGGTGGATGGGTTATAAGTGCCTGGGAAAAAAAAGTAAAGCTTGAAGTCAATTTTCATGCATAACTTTGTTGTGTGCAGAATCCTTGAATTATAGTTCATTGATGTGTTATTTTGACACCAGTGATATGTTTATTTCATTTGATCTGCAATGTCATTGTTGGGGGTAAAATACATAAGCTTCAGACGCATCAATTAATGGATTTCTACTGCTTGTGGGTATTTTTTCGCGTGAGGAATATTTATGAATTTCAGCTGTTCCGACAGGAGTTGTGAGTACTAACTGCTCGGATATAATTTCATCACATTATCTTAGGAAAGTTGGGTTGTAGTTGGTGAGGTATATATGGTGCCCGACGAGCGTACATCTGTCCATGTGATGTTGTGGTGAGTTATACCTTTTTTATGTTGTCGGTTTATGTCCATTTTATTCCACTTATTGTGTTGGGTAGAAGTTTTACAAACAGTCTATTTATATTGTCTACGTATATATATGCCGCCGAAGATGTTAAGGTTTGGCCAAACAAAATCAAAAGGTTGGACCTGTACAAAGGAGTACACAGTAGCTATCCAGATGTAGTAAATATTAAGGAAATCTGAAGGACGGAACGAGCGACCAAGTAGGAACTATTTCTTGCTTATGATTCCTACAGCTCCCTTTATCTACTGGACGATGAACGCCCTTCCGTTTGTTTGATTAGGTTTTGCCCCATTTCACCCCCTATTTGCCGTGCTTTCATAAATGGAGGTTCATGAGCACATTTAGACTTCTACAATGTTGCAAACTCTCAGTTGATAATGTGAGTAATTGCTTTGAAAGAAAGTCGGTCTCGGAAATTATGAGGTCTAAGTGATACACAAGTACAGATGAACGATATGAGTGCGAAGGAAAACCCATTGGGCCCAGAGTGTCAATGGAGGTTGTCAATCTAGTTGAAAATTGAACGATCGATTCATGGTTGTTTGCTCAAAACCAACTTCCCTACATTTTCGCGGAGGCGTCAATACACCAGTCGTCGTTTCATCGGTCGCTGTTCAGAAAGAAGTCAGGAGAAAACCGTCAGAAGTTATATTGTGATTTATTATTGTAATATTTGTTCATAGATTTTAGTTTCAAAGGTTGATTTTAAAGTTGGCTATATGTTGGTGTTACAAAAAAGATTTATCGAGTGGCCAATCGGTGTTTTGGTTTTGCGTCAGTTATCACTAAGCGTTTCTGAGAAACTTCAAGGAACAGCGTGAGTCCCAGCGTAGCAAGAGCTGGGTATTGACGGTTTCCGAGACGTGGTTGACAGAGGTAAACATTGAACGTTTATTTTTGGAACTGGTATCCATTGATGGGCAACTCGAAGGCGTGAATGGTTGGATCGTGTGCATGTTCAGCGAAGACAAACAAAAAGGGATAAAAATAATAATAAGTTTGTATAAAACATTTGTTTGTAGACTTGCACTGTTCTCCACTTTAATTGCCAAACAATATAACTTCCTTCTTACAATACTGGTGTTTTGGATTTAAAGTCGAACAAAGTACATAGTATTTATCGGTACGGAGCGTCCTCGTAACGATAGGAACTTAGGGATGGGTGGCGTTAGCTGATCAGTAGATATGGTGGAGGTCACTAAGGTGAATCGCCCCATTCTGCAGTAACAGCAGTATACAAATTAAAGGCTCGAGATATTTCTGATTTTTATGTGGGCTTAGATCTTTATCTTGAAAAAGATAATAATGAACGCCTTGACAGATCATGCTTCTACCTTTAAATATATACCATTCGCTCAGCCTATTGTTGAGATGTGACCACGCGGGATCTGCACAGATTTATGGGGCATCTTATAAACTAACTTGCTGCCCATTGTCGGATCTTTAAATACCACTTCACAATGTCTTATCTCATTCATTTTCCAATAAGGTATTTACTTGATCCTCATTATATCCCATTAACCTAACATTTTATAGCTCTTTATGAATTTGATTCGACTTGTTCTATTCCTATTCTCTGTAGGGTACGGTTGTGCACCAAATGCACAAAAAGGCATAAAATAAAAAAACCGACATAAGGAAAAATGTATTAAAACCAAAAGTGGACATCATGATAGTGCAAACTGTACAGGAAGCATTTTACATTGCAAATGAACGTTGTCAGCCTAGGGAGTTTCCTTTATTAATGCATTTATTAGTGATACTTGCACTTACCCATTTCATTACACTTTATTGATTCACCTTAGCACTTTTACTTTTCTAAAACAGCTTTCAATCCCTTGTAAACGTTGTACTTACCTCAATATTGGTTGGTTATCGAATGCTGACAACCACGGGATGGAAACGAAACGAAGCCGATTTTCCCGCTCAACCTGGAGGACAACTGTACAATTCAATAACTATACGGCCTGGTTCAGACAATGTGTATTTATATATATATCAAATATTTAACTGTTGAAACATTATTAACTTGTAGACAATCTACGATTTGATATTATATCATACTTGATCGTGCCTGTAAAAATGGCATGCTTTTTCATGTAAATTTATATGTTTATATGAGAATATACATTATTATTATTATAAGTTCCCTGACAGTTTATATTCGCTTTCTGGAGAACCTTTTGGAACTCATCCGGTTGTACCTACTGGATCTGCAGCCAGGTTCTCTTTGGACAGGTATCATCACCGAAATTTACATTCTTTGGTGGCGTTGGATAATGCATGGGT